TAATAGCAGCACTTGTCATAATGATATTATAATAATATAGTTGTACACTACGTATTTTAATAGCAGCACTTGTCATAATGATATTATAATAATATAGTTGTACACTACGTATTTTAATAGCAGCACTTGTCATAATGATATTATAATAATATAGTTGTACACTACGTATTTTAATAGCAGCATTTGTCATAATGATATTATAATAATATAGTTGTACACTACGTATTTTAATAGCAGCACTTGTTGTAATTATATTATAATAATATAGTTTTACACTACGTATTTTATTAGCAGCACTTGTCATAATGATATTACAATAATATAGTTGTACACTACAGATCTTAATAGCAGCACTTGTCGTAATGATAATATCAAGCACAACTAAAACGATAAAGATTCTTTGCCACACTTTTTTCTTGAAGCTATTTATCCATTTCTATATATTTTCTGAATATCGTCTGCTACTCATTTGAAAAACAACACTTTTAAGATTAGGGTATAACAGTAATTGTAAGAAGTGTGTGGACTTCCAAATCTACAAGATTTTTTTAAACTACAGGTTTGAACTACAGTGACTAATGTAATCAATGCAATTTGATATTTTTAAACTCGATATATAAGTTTGATCGTTCTGGACTAGAAAGCTATACAATATCCACCACAAGTATCGAAACCAAATTTTTACTCTAATAAATACCTAATTTAGTGGAAGTAAAACAAGTTTGTTACTAGTGTTTCTGTCTACCGCGGGAAATCAAACGCAGATTTTAGAGTTCTAAGTACAGAGACGTATCGGTGACCATCCGCAGAGGATAGTAAAGAGGAAATGGGATATTCTTAGCCTTAGCAATTAATTTTAATTATTTTTTAATTTCCTGTTTAAACTATGACAACCGACGACTAATCCAAGAGTACTCGACTCATATGTGACTTATGACAACCGAAAAGTAATCCAACATTATTCGACTCAGATGTAACTTATGACAACCGAAAAGTAATCCAACATTATTCTTCTCAGATGTAACTTATGACAACCGACGACTAATCCAAGATTACTCGACTCAGATGTAACTTATGACAACCGAAAAGTAATCCAACATTATTCTACTCAGATGTAACTTATGACAACCGAAGACTAATCCAAGAGTATTTGACTCAGATGTAACTTATAACAACCGGATACTAATCTAAGAGTACTGGACAGAGATGTAACTTATGACAACCGAAGACTAATCCAACATTATTCAACTCAGATGTAACTTATGACAACCGAAGACTAATCTAAGAGTACTGGACAGAGATGTAACTTATGACAACCGAAGACTAATCCAACATTATTCGACTCAGATGTAACTTATGACAACCGAAGATTAATCCAACATTATTCTACTCAGATGTAACTTATGACAACCGAAGACTAATCCAACATTATTCGACTCAGATGTAACTTATGGCAACCGAAGACTAATTCAACATTATTCTACTCAGATGTAACTTATG